ATCATTATAGAGGGATGGATCTAGAAATTATAAGGGTCAGCTATAGTCATACACAATATCCAGCTGTCAAAAATGTCAAATTTTTCGAAAAATCAACAATTTTTTTCTCAGCTCCTACCTCTTCCATGGCTTTGCATCTTTCAGGGTTACTAACCCTGCTATTGGGCACTTCACATGAATTTTTCCAACCTCTTACAGTGTCTAATTGAAAAGTTAGAATCAAAATAGTAAGAAAATGAGTCACGAATTTGCCCCCTGGGGTACATACTTTGTACTAATTTTCAAATTCTTTAGGAGTTATCAGCATCAATTATACTGCAAGTGATTCATATATATAATATCTATGTATGTCACTTACAAACATCAAAATATCTAAGGTTATTTAGTGTAAACAATTTTTTCCCCAGGGTGGGGTGTTTTTGGGGGATGGGGGGCTAACTCCTGAAAAAAAAGAACTTCCTACCACTCTGTGAAGCTATCACCTAGGTGGAAGTTTCATCCAAGACTCTCCCCTAACTGAAAATGCTGCCAAACCAACTATACACCATTTATTGAGAATTTTCCTCCCCGCCCCTAGAGTAAATTGTTTATTTTCCTTATGCTTTATAAATTGTATGAGTGCAACAAAAGAGTCATTATTTCGAAATACATCATGATCCTTCTTTTTATATTTATGACAAGCAATATAGGAGATCAGAATATTAAGTTAGACAAGGGGCATAATCTAATCTTTAGAATCAAAATAGAAATAAAGTGAATCTGCACAATTCAATTTAACTTACTGATTGATTCATTGCACAGTGAAGTAATTTCATACTTTTTGTTATTTCCTATTATTCTTTAATCATCTGAAACCAAACCCAAACTGGATATTATAATCTCCCATACCCAGATCATTCAAGGAATGGCAATTTAAACTAAATAAGAGCAACACCAAAGCCTAGCAAATCCCATCAAACAGCCATGGCTACCATTTGCAAAATCTGTCTACTACTTTTTCAAAATGACCACCTGTCATAAGACAGTGTGAGTATAAGTATTCACATATCAAATATGAAGAAAATCACTCTACTACATTTCGAGTTATAATGAAAAAGTAAAATAACACATGTAAAATGACCACCTTCTAGCCAAAGTGTCGAAAACAGTGTGCCATGCTTATGAGTTTCCACATATCAAATATGAACAAAATCGATCTACTACTTTTCAAGTTACAGCAAAAATCGTAAAGGCCGTCATTTTTCAAGATGGCTGCTGTGTGTTTCTTAGATATCTACATTTCTAGCCAAATTAATGTCCTACATAACTCCTATATAACTTTTTTACATTCAAAGCATATTGCTATTACAGTTTTAGATATTGTACCTAAATTACTGTAAAATCAGCACTAAAATGGCCGCCATTTTTCGACAAGTGACTATTTTGAAAATCGGTTTTCAAACAGAACTTCTACCCCCATAGGGTATATAGTATGAACAAAACCAGGCCAATGGTATTTGAGTCACCTGGACAGATGTATGGATGGACTCACAGACGGACAGAGGCATTCCCTATATCTCTCTGAATTTCGTTCAATGGAATAATAAGCAGCCAAACCTGACAAAAACCATTATAGGCCATTACAAATTGTAAATAAATGAGACATTTTACTTGCATATCAGTATCAATATAAACCTACCATACTACCCCTATGAGCTAGAATATGACATTCTAATCTCAAATTCAGTTTAATTTGTCTCACTTGTCTAATCTAGGTGTGAACCAACATATTGAGGGAAATTATATGCAGCCATCATGCATATTTCATGAACTAAACTCTATCTCTGGCCATGATTATAATTTCTCCCTATAACATTGGATTCCTTGAGTTTCATTTATATATTCATATATCATGCTGAATCTTCCTTTACATTCACTTTCATGTTTAACATGACCCTCATTCACATCAACTGATCTTAATGCACAAATTTGTAGGTTATTTATATAATACATGTGACAAGTATAATTGTAATGCTATTTTAATTGCATGATTTCCATTATATAAATATCGATCTTAATTTCTGCTTTTTGTAATGCTTGTGCTTTTTTAATACAAAACATTTGCACTCTGCACCCTCAGTGGGCGTATCAGTGCCTATATCAAATTGGGTTCTGGAAAAAATGAAATGGTGTTCAATATGGAGAGGAGGAATAATGTTGCCCTCATATCAGTGGCTACAAACTTGGTGAGAATGTCTAGATACAATTTGAGATATTTATTCCTTATGCCCAGTCAAAAATGAAAAATAGATTAGAATAGAATTAGCAAGAAAACATATAAAATTAAAGTCATTGCTTACAATGACGCACAATGTTAGAGAAAATATGATTTATAAATCAGAGAGCAATGTTGAGGTATGAGCATTACCATATTGACAATTTAAACATAAAACATGATGAAAGCATTTTCTGGAGAATCTCTTGAGAATTCAGTTGAAGATCTTTCAATGTTGGACAAGTATTGTTTCACAAGGTTTCCTCCGTTATCCTTCTATTTATATTAATCATTGTTGGATGTATTCTTCAATTGGCCCTGCATCATAATTGAGTGAATCTTGATCAAATTAAAACTAAAATTCAGCTCTCTGAATTATCGTAAAGAAGCGCTTTAAGTCTCCTTCACACTCATCTCTCCAGCCAAAGGGACAAAACACTTCCTATATAAAGCTATAAAAAGTCTGGAATATATGAGCCACTTTGCTGATGGGGTGGTTAACATTCAATTCATTCTGCCTTGATTACCTCTACATGCTTGCCATCTATTTAGTTGCAACACATTTGTTTTCACACATACATTCAACATATCACACTGTGGCTAGTCGATCTATGTGGATGCAGTCATTTATATGCAATGTATCGTGGGTGCTCGCATACATTATAGGGAATGGGATCATTGCAAAAATATGACAGCAAATCGAGGTAGTGATCTCAGAGTTTCTACTTAACATTGTGACTTGAAATCTTGCATACATATTCAATATGCATAGTATGACAATATGTGAAAGTTTCAGCTACCATATTCCTGTTATAGGGAAAATATTTGAAAAACATTTCGTAAACGTCAACATATATGTATAAAATGGATGCCACTATGTATCATTTGGATTCAGAATGGTAACAAATGGATACTATAATAAATTATACTTTTATCATGATGATTTATTTACTGATGGACAACTGGCCAGATTTTCTTTGTATCCATTGTTTGGATAAACATTCCTCATTCAGTAAAGTAATTAGCCACACCATTACAAAACACCCTCAGGAAAAATTGAAAATACTATATATAAACCCATCAACTGGAAAATCCCATTACAGATGAAAAAACTATGGTTTTATCCCTAATACTGTTAATTTGAAAAACGGGTCCATAACATGTCATGTAATGATGACAATGAAAATGTTGGAATAAGGTACGCCAATGAAGTGAATTCAGAGCCAAAGACCCATCAAGCCACTGGAATACTCACAAATCAAGTTTCATAGCCTTGCCCGAGTCGGTCTCTTTTACTTATCTTGATTTCTATTATGACTGCCTTGTACCCCAGAGAAAGCCACGTGCTTTACCGACCCAATGTTATTGTCGGTAAAATTTGACCAATCAACGACGGCCCTACATTGCCGGACTAGGTCTTCGTGCATTTCCATCGTGAATTCAGTTTTGATTTTGAATCAACATTGAATTACATGATTTCATTTATACGAGTATTATGACTGCTTACATTCCAATGTACATTTAATAACATAATATATTGTAACTCTCAAGAAACACTCGATCAGATCAGATAACGTTTTGATTGGTCAATCAGCCTGAAGTCACACGTCGTGTCCATGCGATCTTGTCAATCAATAAGGTTTCGCGATACCCTTAGGTAGCGTAGGTATTATGTGAATCTCGGAACCACTGAATAACTTAGCATAATATCAGTGATGATGCATTGGATTGTACAAGGTGGCAATAATTCAAGATCAGATAAGTAAATAAATACTGACTTGGGCAAGGCTACAAGTTTCAGAGCCATTAACATTCCTTAAAAGTGACAATGAGCAGCCAACATATAGACCATCCGTAAATCTTGATAATTTTGTCAGCTCAGCTGAACGAGCCTACACATTCCTTGAAACAAATGACTCAAATTCAAGAATAACATTATCTATTTACAATTTTTTTGAAATCGTGGTAAGTGGAATCTTTCCAATTACCAATATAGCATTATTATTGTTTTTGGACACTGTGGATTAAAATATTAAAAATACACACATTCAAAATGATTCAATTAAAACCTAGTCAGTCTGTTCATTGAATCCATTCAGAACATCTACTAATCCACATGATACATCATAATTAAATTGCTTTTTTAAAGCGGATATTTCATACCATAACCCAAAAAATATTATAAAATGCATTGTATTTGTATTTTACTTCACACAGACATATTTGTGTACGTGAAATAATTATATTACTTGAATTTTTTATTCCCCATTATAAGGTAAACCAATGGCAAATTATACATACCTTCCCACAGCTATGAGCGAGATGATAAAACTGGTCGAGTGAACTCGTTTGAGTTATCTATTCTTCGTAAAAATATCAGAGAATGTGTGTTGATAGTGTAGCTTTGGTTTTGTAAATCAATGAAGTATGATATACACGGATGAGTAAATATAGATTATTTAAACAGAAGTGCAAAATTCTTCCATTGAAAAGTACAGAGGCGAGCACCCACGATACATTGCATATAAATGACTGCATCCACATAGGTCGACTAGCCACAGTGTATCAATGAAAACTTCATAACCTGGTTATCCGAAATTCTTAGGTTAGTGCAAACGTTTCACAAAAGAGTACAGAGAGTGACTGCCAAAACTTTTTTGAATTAGGAAAAGCAGACAAAATCTGGGTATACTGAACTTATCTTCATCTGATTAATATGAAGATGAAATTGGAAGAGACTACTCACGCTGACAGGTAGCTCCTACACTGTAGAATCCTGGCTCACATACACACATATAGGAGCCTATAGTGTTCTTACATGTTGCTAGTGGATCACACATAAACAGGCCCTCCCCACACTCATCCTTATCTGCAATAAATGAAAACATGTCATATATGCAATGTAGAATCCTGGCTCAAATACACACATATATGAGCCTATAGTGTTCTTACATGTTGCTAGTGGATCACACATAAACAGGCCCTACCCACACTCATCCTTATCTGCAATAAAGGGCAACATGTCATATATACAATGTAGAATCCTGGCTCAAATACACACATATATGAGCCTATAGTGTTCTTGCATGTTGCTAGTGGATCACACATAAACAGGCCCTCCCCACACTCATCCTTATCTGCAATGAATGGAAACATGTCATCTATGCAATGTAGAATCCTGGCTCAAATACACACATATATGAGCCTATAGTGTTCTTGCATGTTGCTAGTGGATCACACATAAACAGGCCCTCCCCACACTCATCCTTATCTGCAATAAAGGGCAACATGTCATATATGCAATGTAGAATCCTGGCTCAAATACACACATATATGAGCCTATAGTGTTCTTACATGTTGCTAGTGGATCACACATAAACAGGCCCTCCCCACACTCATCCTTATCTGCAATAAATGAAAACATGTCATATATGCAATGTAGAATCCTGGCTCAAATACAATCATATATGAGCCTATAGTGTTCTTACATGTTGCTAGTGGATCACACATAAACAGGCCCTCCCCACACTCATCCTTATCTGCAATAAAGGGCAACATGTCATATATGCAATGTAGAATCCTGGCTCAAATACACACATATATGAGCCTATGGTGTTCTTGCATGTTGCTAGTGGATCACACATAAACAGGCCCTCCCCACACTCATCCTTATCTGCAATAAAGGGCAACATGTCATATATGCAATGTGGAATCCTGGCTCAAATACACACATATATGAGCCTATGGTGTTCTTACATGTTGCTAGTGGATCACACATAAACAGGCCCTACCCACACTCATCCTTATCTGCAATAAAGGGCAACATGTCATATATACAATGTAGAATCCTGGCTCAAATACACACATATATGAGCCTATAGTGTTCTTACATGTTGCTAGTGGATCACACATAAACAGGCCCTCCTCACACTCATCCTTATCTGCAATAAATGAAAACATGTCATATATGCAACATAGAATCCTGGCTCAAATACACACATATATGAGCCTATGGTGTTCTTGCATGTTGCTAGTGGATCACACATAAACAAGCCCTCCCCACACTCATCCTTATCTGCAATAAAGGGCAACATGTCATATATGCAATGTAGAATCCTGGCTCAAATACACACATATATGAGCCTATAGTGTTCTTACATGTTGCTAGTGGATCACACATAAACAGGCCCTCCCCACACTCATCCTTATCTGCAATAAAGGGCAACATGTCATATATGCAATGTGGAATCCTGGCTCAAATACACACATATATGAGCCTATGGTGTTCTTACATGTTGCTAGTGGATCACACATAAACAGGCCCTCCCCACACTCATCCTTATCTGCAATAAATGAAAACATGTCATATATACAATGTAGAATCCTGGCTCAAATACACACATATATGAGCCTATAGTGTTCTTACATGTTGCTAGTGGATCACACATAAACAGGCTCTCCCCACACTCATCCATATCTGCAATAAAGGGCAACATGTCATATATGCAATGTAGAATCCTGGCTCAAATACACACATATATGAGCCTATGGTGTTCTTACATGTTGCTAGTGGATCACACATAAACAGGCCCTCCCCACACTCATCCTTATCTGCAATAAATGAAAACATGTCATATATGCAATGTAGAATCCTAGCTCAAATACACACATATATGAGCCTATAGTGTTCTTACATGTTGCTAGTGGATCACACATAAACAGGCCCTCCCCACACTCATCCTTATCTGCAATAAAGGGCAACATGTCATATATGCAATGTAGAATCCTGGCTCAAATACACACATATATGAGCCTATAGTGTTCTTACATGTTGCTAGTGGATCACACATAAATAGGCCCTCCCCACACTCATCCTTATCTGCAATAAAGGGCAACATGTCATATATGCAATGTAGAATCCTGGCTCAAATACACACATATATGAGCCTATAGTGTTCTTACATGTTGCTAGTGGATCACACATAAACAGGCCCTCCCCACACTCATCTTTATCTGCAATAAAGGGCAACATGTCATATATGCAATGTAGAATCCTGGCTCAAATACACACATATATGAGCCTATGGTGTTCTTACATGTTGCTAAAGGATCACACATAAACAGGCCCTCCCCACACTCATCCTTATCTGCAATAAAGGGCAACATGTCATATATGCAATGTGGAATCCTGGCTCAAATACACACATATATGAGCCTATGGTGTTCTTACATGTTGCTAGTGGATCACAAATAAACAGGCCCTCCTCACACTCATCCTTATCTGCAATAAATGAAAACATGTCATATATACAATGTAGAATCCTGGCTCAAATACACACATATATGAGCCTATAGTGTTCTTACATGTTGCTAGTGGATCACACATAAACAGGCCCTCCCCACACTCATCCTTATCTGCAATAAATGAAAACATGTCATATATACAATGTAGAATCCTGGCTCAAATACACACATATATGAGCCTATAGTGTTCTTACATGTTGCTAGTGGATCACACATAAACAGGCCCTCCCCACACTCATCCTTATCTGCAATAAATGAAAACATGTCATATATACAATGTAGAATCCTGGCTCAAATACACACATATATGAGCCTATAGTGTTCTTACATGTTGCTAGTGGATCACACATAAACAGGCCCTCCCCACACTCATCCTTATCTGCAATGAATGGAAACATGTCATATATGCAACATAGAATCCTGGCTCAAATACACACATATATGAGCCTATGGTGTTCTTACATGTTGCTAGTGGATCACACATAAACAGGCCCTCCCCACACTCATCCTTATCTGCAATAAAGGGCAACATGTCATATATGCAACATAGAATCCTGGCTCAAATACACACATATATGAGCCTATAGTGTTCTAACATGTTGCTAGTGGATCACACATAAACAGGCCCTCCCAACACTCATCCTTATCTGCAATGAATGGAAACATGTCATATATGCAATGTTTATGATACTGTTGCTGTGCATCTTATTTCAGTGGTTAATAACACACCTTTTTCAAACTTAGGGGCGAATGACCACAGTCAATAGCATATACATGTACATGTATCTGGTTAAAATGTGAAAAATTTTTTTGATGAAGATAAACATTTCAACATGGAACTAGATAAAGGCCATATCGACCATATACATATGCCATAGCACTAAACAAAAATGAAAAATGTTCACAATTCATCAATTTTATGCAGTATAGAAACAGAAAATACTCGATAACTTAAAAAGAGCTCAAAGAGGATAATACGTACTGATATAATATAAACTGTATCACAAGTATGCATTCTGTTAGATGGTCAACAACTTGAACATCATTAGATGGTGCTGCCATCTTCTAATTCATTCCAACAGTTAAAACTTTACATAATTTGTAGGTCAATTTGCATGCAATGTTATGAGCTTTACAATGTAAAGTTATAAGTGTCCTTACCCATACAAAGGTCCCCTACTTGGTCAAAGCCCCTATCACATATACAGCTTCTGACCATCGGGTCACATCCTGCTAGATTCTGTGAGGCAGCCCTTGGGCACAATATGTCCTCAAAACATGGTTCATTGGCAATCATTTGAGCACTGGGGACATCTGCAAATATATTATTGTTTAGCTCCTCCATAGTGGCTATCAATTCCCCCTCCTGCTTCACTTTAAGTATAATATAAGTATAAATATCTCGTAATACTTGAAGCAAATGTTAGTTAGACTGTAGCATATTATATTACTAAGCATTTCTCTCAGTTAAATATTTGAAGATTATTAACTTACCAAATATGTGCACATTAGTTGTATCTTTCTGAGACCAGGCATTCACATCAAGTGAGCCCCCTCTCTCATGATGGAAGAACACCTTGAAGCTATCTGGAAGGAATAAACAATGTGATTGTTGTAGTGAACACACTTTATAGTGTGCCCCTCTCTCATGATGGAAGAACACCTTGAAGCTATCTGGAAGGAATAAACAATGTGATTGTTGCAGTGAACACACTTTATAGTGTGCCCCTCTCTCATGATGGAAGAACACCTTGAAGCTATCTGGAAGGAATAAACAATGTGATTGTTGCAGTGAACACACTTTATAGTGTGCCCCTCTCTCATGATGGAAGAACACCTTGAAGCTATCTGGAAGGAATAAACAATGTGATTGCTGCGGTGAACACACTTTTAATAGTGAGCACTAAGTTGCAGTGTGAACATTTAATAGTGAACACTGCATTATTATGAACACCTTCAATAACAAATGCTAAGTTGCAGTGAACACCTTCTATAGTGAATAGTAATTTGCAGTGAACATCTCCATTCAATAGTGGACACTAAGTTGCAATGAACACCTTCAATAGTGAATAGTGACTGCAGTGAACACCTCAAATAGTGAATACTACTTGGCAATGAACACCTCCAATAGTGAATACTAAGTTGCAGTGAACACCTCAAATAGTGAATACTGAGTTGCAGTGAACACCTTCAATAGTGAATACTAAGTTGCAGTGAACAACTCCAACAGTGAATACTAAGTTGCAGTGAACACCTCCAATAGTGAATACTGAGTTGCAGTGAACACCTCAAATAGTGAATACTGAGTTGCAGTGAATACCTCCAATAGTGAATACTAAGTTGCAGTCACCTCCAATAGTGAATACTAAGTTGCAATGAACACCTCCAATAGTGAATACTAAGTTGCAATGAACACCTCCTATAGTGAATATTAAGTTGCAGCGAATACCTCCAATAGTGAATACTAAGTTGCAATGAACACCTCTAATAGTGAATACTAAGTTGCAGTGAACACCTCCTATAGAGAATACTAAGATGCAGTGAATACCTCCAATAGTGAATACTAAGTTGCAGTGAACACCTCCAATAGTGAATACTAAGTTGCAATGAACACCTCCAATAGTGAATACTAAGTTGCAATGAACACCTCCAATAGTGAATACTAAGTTGCAATGAACACCTCCAATGGTGAATACTAAGTTGCAGTGAACACCTCCTATAATGAATACTAAGTTGCAGTGAATACCTCCAATAGTGAATACTAAGTTGCAATGAACACCTCCAATAGTGAATACTAATTTTCAGTGAACACCTACAGCATTTATTCTACATACTTTCTCCACACAACATTTTTGTATTTCAAGACAAAATCATTGCAACTGTTTTCATTCAAGCAACTTTTAGTATTGATCATTCTAGCTCCAAGGGAAATTCTATTCAATCTAAGAATAAATCAAATCTATTATTTCAACATTTCTACATCTTGCCATTTATTTGTAAAACTGAATTTCTTACTGAGAAATGCTTATGGTTATTATCTTAAATATAAAACAATATTCAGATTCTGTTAGATTATTATCTGTTTGTACTACATACCTAGGGAAGCATTTGTATGGGATCAATGGAAAAGCAGGCAGGCTATACTTAGAGGTTATGTCACTATGACGTGAAATATGCCTGAGTTCTCCCAATATAGGCCGACCTTGGGAGGCTCTATATTTGGGCAAGAACGAAGGCATATTTCACGTCATAGTGACATAACTGATGTATTACATGCCTTTGTTCCCATGGTAACTTTGTATCAATGACGTGACGTCATGATATTATCATGGTTATTAAAGAAATCTAATATCAAAACGAGGTAAGCGGGCTATATCGAGGTAATCGGGCAATATCGGTGGATATAGCTCGCTAACTTTCCCATTGACTTCCATACAAATGCTTCGCTAGGTATGTAATACAGGCCGATATAGCCCGCTTCCTCTGATTACTATGACAACATTATGATGTCATGTTTCCTTTCTACTAAACTATATGGACACAGCGATATGTTATGTATTGTCAATCTTACCTATATGCATATCAAGTGGAATCTCTATGCTTATATCAACTTGGGGTCCTTCACAACTAGCATACACCATAGCAATCACCGTGACAACAGTCAATAGCATAAGGTTTGATGTCTTAGTTAAACCTCTTGGACTTCCAGGCCCTGTCTGGTGAGGCCCAGTATGATGAGGCCTTGTGTGGATTTGTCCAATATTGTTAGGCCTGGATGGATTAGGTCCTGTGTGATTGAGATTTTCAAAACCATTGCTGTTCATGTCACCATGGTTTCCATTTACCTGCAAAACAATTTAGGAATAATTTACAAACTTAGTCCAATATGTAAGCTTTTTTGGAGCATCATAGGATTTCTACATATTTATCATAAAACTATTAAGGTGTTGCACATACAGTTAATGATGTGTTTGGATCTTCCAGGTTCAATTTTAGTTAATAGGGCTTTGATTTGATTTTTCAAGTGTTACCCTTTTTCATCATTGTTTGCATTATAACCATCTCCATCATATTGTGATGAAAAATTCTGCTCAAAAGACCCATCTCATCAACTTCTAATTCAAATGTATTTATAACAAGTGGAAGATAGTGCTATAAAGTATGTGACCCTCCATGAAACCTAATTGCAAGTATATGTAATTGAAAGTTGCCAGTAATCTCTATTAAACACTGTAAACCTATTAGTGTGCTAGCAATTTCTTTGTCAGATAATATTGGTGGCAAATGTGATTAAAATAGACAGTTATTGATAGAGAATTCAATAAGCCTCTGGACAATTCATCTCCTTTATTCCCATATAGTTATTCTGGGAGAGATCTCTCTCACACAGTGCTCTGACTCACTCAGTCTTTATATAAGCTATCGTGTCTATACTATGGTTTTATTTTTATACCTACAATCATAAAAACATGAGTTTTATCTTTGTGTATGCTGACTTTATTTCACTTTCATTATGAGTTTATTTTGAGTTGGTTTTGATTCTATTCTACAAATGGCAAATAATGGTCATAATAATGCAGCTTATAAGACCTGCTAAATTCTATATGGCCTTTGGGAGGCATTATTTATCTCCAAATTTATTGTTACTGCTTTACAGAATAGAATTTCTCATTACAATTAGGTGTATCATTAGATATATCATGGCATGAGTGAAACATAAGCTTGGCCCAAAGGAATAGAGTTGGTCTGTTTTAAATCTATTTATCAACTGATATAATAATTGTTGTAACATTATCGGCACAAGAGGACATATCAGTGCATATATAAAACAAGACACACAGTGACTCTCTTTTTCATTAAGAAAATCAAAATAGTTAATTTACCCAAAAGAACTTGGCACTAGTCTGCTCTTGCATCTGTAAAAAATTGAAGTTGGACGGATTTTCTTGAAATTTTGATATGACAAGATTTGAGTTCACCCACCTAGACAGATGCAGACATTCACACTATCAATGGAAGACAAGGACAATATAGCAATTAGAAAATGTGTAAACAACCAATTGAGATTATATAAATGTACAAACAACAACACTTGGTTGGATGCCAACCAGTATTGTAATAATAATGAGAGAATATCTCTACTTTTTATATTAACAAAAATGTCATTTAAAATTTTGAGGGCAAACTATTTCTAGATGTTAAAATTTTGAAGGTTACGCCAATCCTTCTCATAATGCATATAAGTCATCTGATTTCCCAGACACACTGTGACAAATTACATGTTTTGATTTCTGAACAAACCAAAATACAAATGACCACATTCATGAATATTAAAATCAAAGTTTGAGAATTTTTCGATTATGACCAACTGCAATCACTGATTTAATGAATGAATAAGACCATATGTGAAAATGAAAACTATATCTTGTCAATATTTTTGTGAAAACAAACCAAAAAACATAAAGTCATCACTGAAATCCCCTGTGCCATATGTGTCTCCTCCAAAGAATGTGACTTGCATTCTAAATACATGTAAACCGATAAAATTCCTCTTAAAAGGAACACAAAAAGTTAATAACAACTCTAGAAGAATAATTGGAAAAGTTAAAGAGGTTTAGTAAAACGATTTATTGAGATAACATACATCCATTTCAAAAGGATACAGTAATTTGGAGATGTAATAAAAGGTTTCTACTAGCATTTCAACATGATAAAGTGTGAATTGTTTCCGAATATTATCTGCTGTTAAATTGCATCTTTGCAATTTTATCCACATAAACCAATCTAATACTTTCATAAAATTCATATATTTATCTATCTTTCAAGAGCAACTTCATTTACTTTTCTCTCCAATCATTATTCACTTAATACCTTCTTTCCTGATCAAAAAACAAGACCAATGTGATATCCTTTAGCCAATATCCCTGAGGTGGCATTTCAAGTTATTTACAGGGCAGAATGCTCACATATCATTTCTTGTAATTTCTGTATTTCGTTATTTTTACATTAACAGTTCATATGGGTCGATATTTTGGAACAAGGGTGTATTTGAGTAGGGGTAGCTATGGGCGTAATTCATCAAAATTTCTATATGGAGAGTACGATTTGGGAGTTATTACAACTCTTTGAAGTGGTGAAAATTTCACTAAGGATTTGGGAGATATTATAATTTTATGATATCTTTTATTGAAATTTCATTTTATTTTAGTTGGAAAATATAATTCTTCTTTTAAAATGTGAAGTTATCATTCACACATACTTAACCTCTTGAATCCCAGGCCCTTAAATTGGTTGAAACCAGATAATTTTTCATTTTTGCGAGTTTTTGACATTTTACTCGTAACTTACATATACAACAGGTGATCATCGTTTTAGTAAAATTAGACAGCAGAGATCTACACATCTTAAAACAATTTTTGTGTAAATTGGGTGAAAATTGTTCAAATAAGAACAATTTTAGTGAAACACTTGTGACAGATTTTCTAGTCAGTCAAGGTTTCAAGGTCATTTCTGAAGTGACAAGAAATCTCGTCACTCCAGGTAGTCAAGGGGTTAATGAAAACATGGCCAGGCAAGCATTGATATATGACAATGAGTAGAAGAGCCACTGCTCATAGATACATTTTATGAGGATGTAAATTAGACATTCGTACACATTTTTTCAACATCGTGAAATACCTTAAGAGCCATCTCTTGAGACTGACCAGGAACACAGAACCAATTTGACACTTAGAGGTGTTAGAAAATGGACTTTAAGACCCATGGGTTCAAATTATGGAAATGTAGCTGTCATATATGATTCCCTGTGTGCAATATAATGTCTTACTTTTAAACAAACAGCAAAATAGCTTTTTATATTCTATCTGAACTTGATTTCTGGAACATTGCATAATAAATCCATAGATGCACTTTCAAAGCTTTGACTTCACTAATCAAATGAAATGGTGACGACTTCTGAACATAAATTTTTGAGTTCCAAAATAGTTTTCCATCATTTGATGATATGTTTCACTGTTCACATGTATATTTAGAATTATGGGTTCCAAATGTTAAACAGCAGTAACTTCAACATATTCAAGATATATAATAAAAAAGTAAGAAACACGTGACCTATGTTTTTACTCTTTTAAATAGTAGGTCACTGTTAAAGAAAATCATTAACCCTTAACTAGTAATCGATGTAGATTCATGTATTTTTTATGCAAAACTGAAAGATGAAGACCATGCAAGGACATGAGTTATGTGTCCCTGAAAATAGGACGAGACTCCAATAAGTAAATCCCACTGAAATATCAGAACATACATACCTACCTTAAATATGGATGAGGATACAATTAAATCAATGTTAGTAACAACAATGCTAAAAGCAATTCAGACCAATGCAATTGTCACTAACACAATCTTAATGCATTTAAATGTATGTTGCCACTAAAATAGTTGCTGGCCTTCATCTTCCAACCAAACTAGCAAACCTTTAGAAGGCATTAGCTCTACTCTTCACCCCCTCATCCCTTCCAATCTTCCATATTCAAATAAATTAAGGGATATAATTAACACGCATAAAAATGTTGTGCAAATGAAAATTTTAAAATGATAACAACTAGATATCAACAACATAAATAATCTCTATTCTCCCTGAGATTACAGTGAAAGATTCCCAACAACATTAAATTAGAAAAAATCATGCAGCCCAACTGGCCCATCTTTCCAAATGCTGGCATATACTGAGAATGTCCTCCTCCCTCAGACTTACTTCTGCTATTATTTTATGTAGACCATCTTTTCAAATGCTGGCATATACTGAGAATGTCCTCCTCCCTCAGACTTACTTCTGCTATTTCTTTATGTAGACCATCTTTTCAAATGCTGGCATATACTGAGAATGTCCTCCTCCCTCAGACTTACTTCTGCTATTTCTTTATGTAGACCATCTTTCCAAATGCTGGCATATACTGAGAATGTCCTCCTCCCTCAGACTTACTTCTGCTATTTCTTTATGTAGACCATCTTTTCAAATGCTGGCATATACTGAGAATGTCCTCCTCCCTCAGACTTACTTCTGCTATTTCTTTATGTAGACCATCTTTTCAAATGCTGGCATATACTGAGAATGTCCTCCTCCCTCAGACTTACTTCTGCTATTTCTTTATGTAGACCATCTTTCCAAATGCTGGCATATACTGAGAATGTCCTCCTCCCTCAGACTTACTTCTGCTATTTCTTTATGTAGACCATCTTTTCAAATGCTGGTATATACTGAGAATGCCCCTTTCTCACTCAGACTTACCTCAGCTATTTCTTTATGAAGACCATCTTTCCAAAAACTGATATATACTGAAAATACCCCTCCTCCCTCAGACTTAGCTCAGCTATTGTTGCTTTATGGAAACCATCTTTCCAAATGCTGGCATATACTGAGAATGCCCCTTTCTCACTCAGACTTACCTCAGCTATTTCTTTATGAAGACCATCTTTCCAAAAACTGATATAAACTGAAAATACCCCTCCTCCCTCAGACTTAGCTCAGCTATTGTTGCTTTATGGAAACCATCTTTCCAAATGCTGGCATATACTGAGAATGCCCCTTTCTCACTCAGACTTACCTCAGCTATTTCTTTATGAAGACCATCTTTCCAAAAACTGATATATACTGAAAATACCCCTCCTCCCTCAGACTTAGCTCAGCTATTGTTGCTTTATGGAAACCATCTTTCAAAATGCTGGCATATACTGAGAATGCCCCTTTCTCACTCAGACTTACCTCAGCTATTTCTTTATGAAGACCATCTTTCCAAAAACTGATATATACTGAAAATACCCCTCCTCCCACAGACTTAGCTCAGCTATTGCTTTATGGAAACCATCTTTCCAAATGCTGGCATATACTGAGAATACCCCTCCTCCCTCAGACTTACCTCGGCTATTTCTTTATGAAGACCATCTTTCCAAAAGCTGACACACACTGAGAATGCCCCTTTCTCACTCAGACTTACCTCAGCTATTTCTTTATGAAGACCATCTTTCCAAATGCTGGCATATACTGAGAATGCCCCTTTCTCACTCAGACTTACCTCAGCTATTTCTTTATGAAGACCATCTTTCCAAATGCTGGGATATAATGAGAATGCCCCTCCTCCCACAAACTTACCTCAGCTATTTCTTTATGGAGACCATCAACCTGAAAGTTTGGTCTGTCTCCATGGTGCACTGGTGTGCTGGTCACTGGTGCTGCCTAAAACAAAACATATTAAACATATGTAATAGAAATATAAAAAATAAAATCCAAATGCTTTATTCACGATTTAAATACATATGTCTGTTTTCAGTAAATAAAAAGGATGAAGTTTTCTCATATCTCAACATTTAGCTATATATTCTTCCCTTTTGTATTGTATGTTTGGTGTCACTCTGTGGAATAGCAATGATTAATTCCCTAAGTATAGTCCATCAAATTAGGCAATAATACAATAGTACATACTCATGGGAGCACTTCCATCACACACCAATGTTACCATTTTCATTGAAATTGCCAAAACATTATTTGCCAATGCTGTAAATTAAAATAATTTGTTTAGTTTATGATACATAAGACCTCTATTTTTAGGATAGTTTTTAACCGATTCTTATTTCATGGGTTAAAAGAAGCACCTGAGTCCCCATGAACAGCATTTTCATATTGTTTATAGGGTTTTATATGTTACATGATAGTGTCTGATTGAAATTGCAAGTGATCATACCATAAATCATTAAGTCCCCCTGACTTGATCATTCATCACATCTCTGACTGTCCCCTGGTAGGCCAAACACCACCCCATATCTTTAATACTGTCATAAATGTCCACTAAAGCGAATTTCCATGATTTTTCTAGCAATTTATGCACCCCTTGAGATCAATATAGAACAGCAATCGGACAGTGTATAGGTTCACCCTATGAGCACTATGTCTTCTGAAATGTTTCCTGACTTAATATCTATAATATAACTCATAATTCACATGACCCTCCAAAGAATGGATTAAAGTCGAGAGAAATCCATCTGCTTAGTTAAATAAAACTAATATAGATGAAATAGTGAATTTTACACTGAACCTAGAATATTTTTACCCTTTGCATTCATTCGACTTCACTTCTTAAAAGAGAGCTTCGTCTTCACTCTTTTAGTTTACAAAAATCAATGATATCATCTAGCCAATCAGATTTCATCGTTGAAATACAGACGACTTTCTATGTGTTCATTTCCTCTGACATTATTGCATAGTTAAAGAGTACATATTTAACATGTGTTCTTTCCACTTCACTGATTGGTTGAGAAAGGGCCAAAGTGGTAGATTTGGAATTATATTTTACCTGGGCTGCCACAGGCACCAATTTTTGGGGTGGGCTGCTAAACTGTATAGTATAAACTAGACATATGGTAGTTTATAACTAGACTCTGTGCGCAGGGTAAAATACTTTCAACTTACATACACATGTAATTAATGAAATACGCAATGTTAACACAAACTTTTTAGGTTTTATAGTTTATTAATTCAGACAACATACAGCAGACACAGGGCCAATGACAAACTGGACAATTGTTTTTGTAATTGTAATTGTCTAGTTATTGTCTAGTTAATCATAAATGTATGATTTTTACTCTAGATTTAAGAGCCAAGTGTGCTCTGTACTTTGGATTGTGCATTCTTCTTATTCTTCTTAGCCAGATTTTCTGATGGTCATGTTCCAAACAAATTATTTAATCATTCACACTTCAGACTCATTCATGCTTGTGGTTTATAGAATCTGCATAATATTTATCATCTACTGTGTCTTTTCATTATAAGAAGAGATAGATGAAGGGAAGATATAAACATAACTAGCAGGAAGGAGGTCCATTGCAAATCAACAATTATAGCATCTCTTATCATAATTAAAAAGGATATATCACAGCCTAGAGTTGTGAATCTGATCACAAGAAGTTAATGGATTTTCCGGTTGAATTATTTGAGATGGTAGAACTTCAGCAAATTCATTAAATTCTGCAGAATGAATAAGGAGATCATAATAGCATTGAAGACACTTTACCACTATAGTTCAACCTTTAGCAGACTGCACATGGACTGGTCTATCCAAAGCTAACCAATGGTCTAACCAATGTTAACAGCACATTAATAAGTGATGCAATATGCCCTGTGTCAAAAAAGCCAACTGACCAGGCAGCTATTTGGTTCCATTAGGTATTTGTGTTTTATAACTCATGTAGAACACCTCCCATTATACGTCTTATATGAAGGAAAGGGAAAGCCCCAGAGCTAAGAGATAACAGACATGATTACATATATGTCTCTTGCTTACCACCTTCATTGTTTGAATTTTCACTGGCTTAGTTTCAAAATGATATGCTTCAATGTGATGTTTTAATTGATGTAGGCATATTCCATACACCTTCCTTTATCTTGATATGAATTAAAAAGCAATGATATTGGTTAACATGCCAGAAATCAACATAATATTATTCGAAGCGTATTTCAAATATTTTGAGACTGCAATGTTTGTTTGTCGATTTTGACCAATCAGAGACATATGTCATCTCAATACAGGTTTACATTATAAGAGTACGTCATCTTTGAACTCTGGGGTTAATCCTCCCCTGTCTTATAATGTTCAAAGATTTCACGCTGTTAATTTCAGACATTTTCTTGGGTGATAAAAAGAGAATTGGTTTTAGAATTTAGAGAACTTAGTAAGGTGATCAAAGATTAGTTTGTAGTATCATGATCCTATATTCCAAGGCAGGGAGCACCACGCACAAACCACCATTTTTGAAAAAATGTACAAATAGTATTATTCTTCTATAAAACCAAATGGTCCAGGAACAAATAACTTAATGCTGTAATGTGAGTTTTGAAAGGAACGTGTTGAAGGTTGAGTAAGTCAAATTTCAGAACTTGATTTTAATTTAAGTCGTGACCCTATCAGCAACCAGAGTAAAGTGCTTTCGCAATCATAGCACAAAACATAAAAAAACATATTCAGTATTTATTGATGTCATCATGAACTTCAGGTCTTCTGACTTATGAAGAAGCTCAAGACAACATAGATTAAACTTGCTAATATGCATGACATTATTGTCTAATCCCTGAGGCTTCCATTCATCTAGTTCTTTCTCACTTTGTCTCATAATCATATTTCAATGATTGGAAAACCAAGATGAATGGCAGGACAGACAGGAAGGTGGGTGGTTACATGCAATAGTTCTAAAAACATCAACATTATCAATAATGATAGCCAGTTAGACTCCTGAGTTCCTAATCTAAAAAGGTCTTAATTTAAGTGTTCAAATTCTGGTACTTTTTGAACAATTTTAGATAAAATACTGTCTGTTATCAGTTCTTATAGAGTGTTTGGTAAGCATGACTTGACTGGTGTATACTTAATGGAAACCTGGCATGTATGAAGCTCATGTTAGACACAATTATGAGCTGCAAGTTATAAACAGTGTGATAATTGCTCAGAAAGAAACAAATTACAAAAAGTCATTTCCAGTTCTTTGCTCATGGTATTTGCTTTGTTGCTAATAAATGTAAATCAAAATTAATAATGATACATTTTGTTCAAAATGTTTGATTTTAAGACGAACAACTCACACTTATTTGATTATTTGACATTCACAGTATGTACAATATCAGATTAAACACTTTGTTCTAATTCAGTAATTCAGTTTAACAGATTTTTGATCAGTTCTGGGGCTCAAACTGCAGAACTGAATGCACAAAAAGCAAACCTTCAAATGTGTGGTAAAAGAGATGTAAGAAATCATACTGATTTTAAACTTCATATCTGTTATTACTAATAACTAGAACACTTTCTCAGTACAAAATATTCAAAATGAGTTAAGAATTGCAGAAACTGTGCAGTTTGCACAAAACAATGCTAAAAACAATAATTCTTACAGATTTGATTTTTCTTGCGCATCATTCTTTTTTTACACAAACACAATCATGATGACCTTGGCGATTAATCATGAAAAAAACAAGCAGAATAATTGTCAAGGGAGGAACTGTTAGAGACAAGATCTCCAAATCAATACATGAAGTATTATTCCCATCCAACATTGTTCTCTCCTTTTCTATGGCAATTAGAAGAACTAGTCTTGTCTAAAACACAATTAGAATGCTAATTCAATACATTAGTCACTAGTATTGTAGTATTTCAATGAATTTCTGCAAAGCCTTGCCTTATAAACTACATGTCTAGGATGACATCATCGTTCATGCATGGTAAGTCATTCCATATGTACACAGAGAAGAGCAGGAGTTGAAATATCAAGAGGATCATTGTTTGAGCTCTGTCTTTTATTGCCAATAGATCACGATTAATTGTGAACTAGCAAAAATTACTTCCCTTACAAAGAAAATGAATAAGTTCTATAATTTTGAGGAAATCACAAAACAGGCAAGATTACAAAGTCCACACTGCTGAACAGCAAAGTCATTACATTTCCTTCAATCCAAAATGAAAAGATTGATGGTGAAATTAATTTGTGAACACTGGGAAGTAATTTGAAAGATTAAGTGTTGAATTGTTTGTCAGGCTTGTCTTTGTCTCAGCCATGTAATCAATCTGCCAAACTAATTATTTACCATCAGTCAATGAGATATTTTCTTTCCTACATTTGGTAACAGTGAACAACACTGCTTTAGCAATAGACTAATACGTGATAGTCGAAAACATGGTCATTAACATAAATATCTCCCGCAATGCATCACTTAAAGTGGGACAAATTTTCATTGGTCACTTAATTAAACCAAATTCTCCCAACCTTAAAACCATATTATTGTCGGGAAAATAAAGTTTATACTAATATCAAGTTGCTATACACGAGGAATTGCTTCTTGAGCTCTTCAACTTGGGAGGTAAAAATATTGTTGTCATTCTGAACTATAAGTTATTGAATGATTTGAAGTGCAATACAGGATATATTCTGCTCGAGAATTCTGTATTGGAACAAGACGAAGTCGAGTGCCAATACAGAATATCGAGACAGAATTCAATAACGTTTTTATCGAGTGATCCTCTGTATTGCTACTGATATTGTCCCCTCCGTACCAATATTTTCTGTATTGCGACGGAGATGATCAATAGGGACAATCTTAGTAGCAATACAGGTTGGTACAGCACAAGAACTGACCAATCAGAGGGCTTCATTTTACAGATCATACGATAATATCGTGTATTGGACTATTGTCTTATTCACAGGTTTCTGTCTTAGAATGTACTTAAGAGCCTTAAGATGGTCTTGTATACTTCAATTAGAAATAGTGTGACAAAACATGCCCAATCATAAAACAATATGTAGGATGTATCCACAAGTTATTCACTGGACATCATTTACCAGTTTGCATCTATAATTAATATTAATGCTTATTCAATCAAAAAAGTGTAAATGATGCTCTATTTCAAAAAGCATCAACCTGTATAAAATGAACACCTATATGGAGTCACTATACACAGGTGTTCACTAGAGAGAGGTGTTCGCTAAGACGGATTTAACTGTACATAGAAAAAACAACTAGCAAAACTGGTCTCTTCTAGATTTCCTTATCAAGAAGCTTCCAAGAAATGTGAAATGAATTTATTAAACAGTTCAGCTGAATACACAAGGACATATCCAAGATTTTAAGACAGTTGCTTATCAGATAAGATTTTCAAACTAAAAAGTGATCGCAATATAGGACTCAAGGGTGTGATAAAACCACCTTCACACGCAAGTAAAATTCAAATGCAGTCTCTTGCCCCCAAGAGCAAAACACTGAATAACTGAAAAGACACTGCAATTTGATATTTGGGATTAGCTACAAGAATTGAGCTAATAAGAGAGCTTGTATGAGGTTATTTTTAATAAGTTTATATCTTTCATCAGAAAAGTGGAAATATATATGGTACTTTCTTTACCAATTATATTATTATATAGAGTGATAGCATCAATTGATTCAACTCAAATGTAAAACTTGATGATGAAGTCTATACACCACAAGCATTATCAGATATAGTTTCCTCTATTATATATATAATATATATATGGCCCTGTATTCCATTAACTGAGGATGAGTAATCCACCCTGCATTCATTTCACTTAGCTTTTTGAAAAATAGCTTTAACTATGAGTTAAGTAACTGCTGAGACTTATTGATAGAGAGATCCAAATATTATAATGTTTCGAAATTGATAGAGAGATCCAAATACTATAATGTTTCGAAAATAAGAAAGAGTAAAGGATCTGATCATGAACAATAAAGTATGATGTAACAGACCCATCCATTCACGAACAGCAACAGCACGTGACTCTCTTGAAAATCGCTTGTTATTTTTTAGTTGTGTGTAGGACATGGAGCAATCAGAGTGTGAGGAATATGACAGTGATATAATAATATAATATCTTTGTAATTCAAGCATTTTTATTTGAAAATGTTTTATATAGCGGGTGCTTTTATGCCAGATGCTATATGTTTCAGCCATAAATATATATCTCATCAAGAGAGATGCCTCTCTCTCATAGTGCTCACAGGGGGCAAATGTTACACAGGTCTCATACAAATTGCATCTAAATGGGATAAAACACTAAGACAAATTGATTTATGGAAGAATGCTTTCAAATCTGGTCTATTATTTTACTTCTGCTGGGTTTTAAGTGAAAAAATCTGTTACAGAATTACTATATAAGTGTTCCCCACTCCCAATATAAAAGTAACTAACACAAATATAATGTCATGAGTGCCAACACTAACTTATAACTGTCAAGTTAAGAGACAATGAAAGGAGCATCCATTTCTGTTTGCCATTATCTTAAAATTAATATGTTTTGTTGAATTTCATTAATTCAGAAGTGGCACAGTCACAACTATACAAACAATTCCTGTACATAAAACATATGATGTTTGAAGACTAAATCTGATTGGCAAAATTCAACCACAACATCACCGACAGAAATAGGATTAAACATTTTTTGAAAAATGTGAAACTTTAGGTCATTAAAGATTTATTTCTGTTTCATTCATTTATGTTTCAGAAAATAGTATTTATACATCTATGTGAAATGGAATAAACTGGCAAATAATGAAAACCTTTTGGTTTCCAACTCTTTACTTTTTAAAACTTTGTATTCAAAAGTTACTTCTAACATGAATGTCATATTTTGCATTAATTCAACTTACTGGTTCTAAGTCCAAATGATCATCCAGGGAGTCTTGATCTGTGACATCATCTGGAAAATACACAAAAATATAATCTAACAAGGCATTAACATGACAAAATGCTCACAATATTATAAGTTCAATCTTAAGTCAGGTTTGAATTTCTGAGATCTTGTAGATGATTATGAAAAAATTTGGTGAAATTTGAAGCAAGTTAAAAAAGACCTTTTTGACCCTGAGAAGGTCAGTGAAGGTGAAATCTCAAATCTAACTTCTGAGAACTTATAGTTGATTTAAAAAGTTGATAACTTGTAGATAATTTTGAAAAATAATTGGGTCAGTTTTAAGCAAGTTGAAAAAAGACATTTTTGACCTTTTTTAACCTTTTTTGAAAAAATTGAAGTCAGTCTAAACAGTATTTGTTAAGTTATTGAAAGTTGTAAGAATTTGTTACAGCCGCCAACCACCGATCGCCAACCACCGATCACCAACCACCGATCATCAACCTCCAATCGCAGCCACAAAAAAAAATGGAGACCATAACAATATGTCACCACTTTTTGGTGGTGACATAATAATAAACTGGAAGGTCATATCTATTAAAATCAGTCATAAAGAAAGCAAATCCCCATGTATCCCAAACTATGATTTAACAGATAAAGAAACAATGTCTAATAACCCCCTCCCCAATCATTCAGGAACCATTATCATAATCCAAGACCAGAAATCAAGGGACATTTCATTCATACCAAAGACCATTTCAACATGTGTCAGTGCATCCCAACAAAGGAGACGAGCATAAAAACCATTCACCCTGTTCCCAAAGTACTGTCTCAATACTTTCAATATTAATCTAAATGAGTGAACACAATAATTATCAAAAAAGGACTTTTTATATTGTTTTTTGTGTGATATTTAGAGATTTGCATATAAAACCTCTAATAACTTACTTTTCCTTCTTAATAGCATTTTGAATTCAGTGAAGTTTTCCACAATAAGAACTTTGATCATGATTTTCAACTTCAAGTGTAGGCCAAATCTCCATTGATGCAATGCAATACTTTACTTTAAAACATTTGTGTATTTGTTTGGAAACCCAACATTTTCATGATTAATCACAATATGTACATTATCAGGGTCATTCAATAGTATTCCATTCAGGTTTTAGATTCAACCAACACTTTTTGATACATCATGAAATTAAGTGACTATAGCAAGTTTTTAACATTGAAGTCTATGGCAGTCTGACCCAACCATAACAAATAAACACAAGGGTGACATCTATCATATCAGCTTTATTCAGCTATAGAGAAGATATACATTTTTGTTTTGATTTTGAGTGCCCATGGAGGTCAGTTTATATTGTTCTGACAGGTATCCTCTGCTCAGGTCAGGTATGGCAATAGACCCATATTTTTGCATTTTGGAACAACAATGGTCATAGAATTATCTTAACTTTTGGGATGGCAATGATTGGGAATTTTCTCATATCCATTATGACTGATTGCTTGGTCACTTATTCTAGAATATGGTAGGAGAATGATCCTTTTTCATAATGAATTACAAATATAGACTTTGCTTTTCGATGATCTAGCTTTTCTATAAAGACATATACAATGGTGTGGCGTTGGCCTTGATTTTTTGATAATTTGGGATGACTACTGGGCCATTTTATATTTGGTATGGCAACATTCATTATTGACTGGTAGGTATGGGAACATACATAGATAGTCAAGCCTAGGATCTGCCTCGAGCTTTACATGCAGTAAACCCCCCCCCCCAGGCATCAGTATAATCTGATATTTCCGATGTATTTTCATTTATCTTTATTTTATTTATTGAATTTCCCTTTTATTTCCTTTGATGTTTATTGCTGTTCTACAATTCAATACCTAAAAGTAATAAGTACAACTCATATATATATATAGACTATATATTAGAGAGAAGTATCTAAATCAAAAATGTTGAATGTCCAACATATCAATCTCCAACTAACAGAGCTCAGGAAATGTATGTTTGAGTGCTTTCCACTGATCCATTGCAAAAGCTTACCTTCTGGAAAATGTTAGTTGGACACTTTTACAATCTTTAATTCAGATAATCATATTAGGCTGTTTCTTGAATGTCTAAACTATATATTTTCAATATACATTTATGAACTTATATTGTATCACTCTCTAAATATCTATAGGATTTTTAAGAAACATAGCAAATGGCAACATAAATATGTTTTTGAAATCCTTTGAGAAAGTTTTTTCCCTGCATTATCAACCAATCAAATTAAATGGATTCTAGCAATGATATGCTAATAATCAGTCGTAGATCTTATCAAGTCACCAATTTTTATTATTTCATCATTTGTACTTTTAATGCTTTACCCAATATGGGAAAATGCGAGAAACGGTATGTAGTGCAGTAATAGGAAGTCCTTGACTGAAGGCAAGCATTTCTTCTTTCTAGTTATTTGTTATATACAAGATTAAAAGATGCTACTAGATCTGTATTTGTTACCAATGCTCATTTTTGTAGTCAGGATACTACTACATGTACTTTACATCCATTGAGAAGAATCTCTTGCATTGGTAATATTACCTCAAAATGTTCAAAGTCATCTATCATATTAAATATCAAAATAACTAGCAATATACAGGGTGGGCCAAAAATGCCACTTTTTTCAAGACACTATAACTTTTTTATTTTCCAACCTCCAGACCCCAAACTTTGCAGTTATATAGTGCCAGGGGTTCTTAGTAATAATATAATGTAACAAGTCCTTCAACTTGGATAATATTTGATCTAAAAGGGGAGTTCAATTGGTCTGCCACCCTAATTGATGATATATTTTAGTTTCAGTCGCCTTGCTGATATTGCAGTATCAATGAAATGTTAGCTTTTTTCAACCTGTCTTAACTGCCCATACAATCTCCTGGAAACCTTCCCATACCCTATACTCACTGGGATTTGCATCAGGGCTATTAGCTTGGCGATCATCAGGCCGTGTCAGTTCAGGAACGTTTTGCAAATTATGCTTATTTCTCATGGCACACCACATGTTTAAGTGAGACGCTGGTAACATATTTTATTCAAGTATAAGTGTATAATTTATCATCCATGGCTAGATAACAACCTCAAGTTTCATTTGGTATGCAAATTATGATTTTGTATCAAAAATTAATAAAAAAAGTTAGGGCATTTTGAAAAAAAAGTGGCGTTTTTTTGGCCCACCCTGTACAGTAGCTTGGCATGTAGATTAACAAGGGGCTGACTCATATAGAAAGGGAGATGCCACACATTACACATTCAAAATAATCTGTTTAGCTCATAAGTCTAGAACAATTATTAAACAAGTTTATTTGTTGATTTTGAGCATCTCTTTGTAAATGTGAAAAGATATCACATTATCTAAAGTGGTCCTTTATATCGCTATGGTTACTAGGAATAAAGCTTTCAGAAAGATAACCCTTAAAGCAAGATCAGCCTCAATCTGTTATGTAAATGTTTCAATGGTGAGTGAGCATTTACTGGTTGGTTAATTATTCCAACATCTGTCTTATTATGTGTGATTAACTGCTTTGATGTTGTTATAATATTATGATTTGCCTACAGCTTCTCCTTCCTTTGGCATCTCTACTTTCAACATGTCATTTTCATGAAGTTGTTTCAGAATACATTTGTGGTTACTGCAAGATCAAACTCAATTTATCATAGGCACTCAGAGATAGCAGAATTGACCAAGAAAATACTACCTCCTCCTCATGCATACCAAGGAGAACAAATGTAGTCCTTTTTAGCTTAGTACACAGAGAGTAAGGGGTGAATTTTCATTTTGGAACAACTATACCATCCATTCTGTTGCCTGGGCACTTTATATCCCACTACATTCAAAATATACATATCTGATATATCGTGTTCACCCCTTGCTTAGGATAGACATCTCCCAAATCATTTCATAATCAACATACCTGGGTTCGATTCCTCTGGGGGTAGAAAATTTCCACGCTTGCGTCTGATACACACCCATATAAGGAGAAGGAATGTGATGATAAAAGCAATGCCCCCTAGTATTGCACCTATCAGTATTTTTGTCATAGTAGGATCAGGCTCCACTTCATCCTGGAATTATAAAATGTTATTTATTACACAACAGCAGCACCAGGGAGTAGCAAAACCCATCAAACATATAGTCAGTAAACTAGATGATACCATGACATCTCATTTCTCAATGAGGCTATGAGTATCAGAATAGATATAAGAGAATTGATTCATATAGGCTAAGCATGTCTCAGCCCATCAGCTTAGAGTATTTCAGTTTATTTTTTCAAGCTATATGCAACTAAGAAACATTATTTTACAGTGCATTAATATAGTTTCATAATGAACTGAGCAGTGCCATTATTGGTAAAAGAGTGTGACATCAACGCAGTGCAATAGTGTTTCATAAATAACTGGATAGTTTATTTGAAATTTACAGGGTTCCTTAATGGATCTAAAAGCATTCATGCATGTTCAAAACCATCCTGATAATGTACTCAGACTCTACCATTGATTCAGATTAACAGATGGACAGACATGTGAGTGATTATGATAACTCACACTTGTGAGCTAAACAATTTTAGTATAGATAACCTCTATAATATTTTGTAAACAACCACAACATAAGGCATGAAATAATGCCTATCAATATCATATTTCAGTACATCAATCTCAAAAGACCAATAATACCACAGGAATAAGATATTCAGAAATTAAAATCGATTCACGAAACAAGAATTCCTTTGATAATTTTTGTGGATATCTATGATCGATACAATACACATCTAGAGCCAGTAGCAGTGCTCTATAATCACTCTTCATCTCTAAACTCATAATCAAAAAAATTAAAAAGAAAACTTAAACAATGTATTTATCCTTCTTCATTCCATATTCAAACAACAGCAAAACCATATTTGAGATATATCTTCAGCATAATAACATTAACACCATTGCTGGTATTACTGGTACAACAAGAGAAATATTACATTAAAGATTTCATGAGAAATAAAAATATGAATTAATTGATTCATCATTACAATTCAGCAATAAACGATGGATATACTGACAATATTAGAGTGCACATCATTTGATTAAATAGGTTGAATAGGGTTTCAGGTTTTAACAGTATTTAGTGCTGATTCATTGAGAAGCCCCCTACCCAAGAAAGTCTTACAAGAGATTCTAATGTACTCTACAAGATGTTATAGGTCTCCCTTGAGAATCCTCAATATATAAAGCACAAGAGGTGGATGTATTGATAAAAACATTATTTCTAATTTCCACTGTGCAACACTGGGGATCAGTTCATCTAATCCAAGACAAACATAATGTAATCTGAACAGCAACATTTAATAACTTTAACAAACACAGATAATCTCAGCAATAATACTAGGATTATTTGCCAACTAAGAAGACTTGTTTGCTGGATTTATACTCACTTTCAAATAGATCAATTTCATATAAATGTAAATGAATTAAATAGACCTATAAGACCAGAAGGAGGGGGGGTTGTGCTTAACTCACTTATTGTAAACCACATGCTTCAAACAGTGTATATATTTATAAGAAAAGCTAGAAGCTAGTAAAGAAAAGAAACAGCTTAATACTGATAAATAAGACCAAGAACAGCTAAATGCTGATAAAGAGGAGGGAAAGCTAAATACTGCTTCAAGAGAGAACAGCTAAGTACAGAAGAAAAAAAAAGAACAGCTAAATACAGAAGAAAGAGAACAGCTAAATACTGATAAAGAGAATGACCACGCTTTGTAATACTGACAAAGAAGAAGAACAGCAAGTGATACAAAGGGATAACTATAATTATTATATCATTGCTAGAATTTGTGTCCTTTGATTGGCTGATTCAGTACCATGTGATCAAAAATACCAAAGCGTATTTCACAGTTCCCTTAATTTTGGAATTATAAAAGACGTATTGCCCGGCGTATTGCCCGCCCGGGAATTCTGAATCGTCCCGTTTCGTCCAGTACAGTTGTGACGTGCATCAAAATGGCAGACGGAAAAAGATTTAAAAGTCTGAATTCCGATGAAAAGAACGACATCTTGAGGGATGTGCATTCTAAAAACACCATTAAATCAACGGAATGACATCTAATGTCTTAGAACATTTTCAAGTGTTATGTCCACAAACGAAATAGACGTTAAATCTATCGATAAAATCGTTCTGGATGGAATTTTAGAGGATTTTTTTGGAACTGCGAACGAAGGATGGGGAATATTACAAGAGTGCCAGTCTGCAAAGTAAGCGAATGTCTAGCAATGATATAATAAAACAAATATTTCATTCTATGTTCGGGCAATACCTGTTGCACTTTCAATGATTTTTGCAGCATGTATTTCCATCGCCCTACGGGCTGCGGGCAATACATACTGCAAAAATCATTGAAAGATGAACAGGTATTGCCCTTCATAGAATGAAATATTTGCTTACTACTGATAAACAGGGAGAATAAATATTACTCCGGTTTACACAGATTTATAGGTACAACCAAAAGCTTACTCACTAAGTCTTGAGGATTTGAAAATGTTTTTTCACCTTGTCATATAGATAGCTTAGTCCTGAGAGAATTTATATGCAAATATTCCTAGGATATGTATACTTAGAACAATCTCAAGTAATCTACAGACTTGAGAGGGGATAATTAGAATACAGTAAAACCTGAGTCAGCTGAACACATTCATGATCAACAAGCCTACATTCTTGCTTTTCTTGATGTACAATGTAGAAGTTAGCAATGGTTCTGGGAAGCATCTCACAATAATACAACTATCCACATGAGACTATATTTTTAACATACAATAAGATATCCCAAATGTGTGAAATCTTAGGCAATCGTATGTCATATTTGAAGTATTTTGTGGCTCATAGCTTTGATCAATGTGTATTTGAATTCATATGTCCTATGACTAGGAATTATTCTATTTGCAATGTTTTCTATTTGAAATATGATTTTTGAATATTTTAACAGTGTCATCTTTTGCATAATGGATTGATCATGGTGATTACATGCTGATATTAGTGTAATAACTAGCAGTGATATTTTGGTGATTGGTCTGATATATGGATACTGATTGAGAAATGTGATTACAAGAAATGAATAACAGTTTTAAATTGAGTACCAGTTTTGACAAATGGATGAGCCAACTGGAAGGACTGAAGGAAGCCTTGAACATCTCATAAACTCAATTTGTGAGACAAGAAAACATATTTAAACATCATTGCAACATATTAGCCAAAGAAAAGATATTCTAATATGACTAACAAAGACACAGCCATCTTCACCCCATGCAAGATATTGCCATCTTTCATCCTAAAACGTGCAAGATGAGATTTACTTGTGACATTCGATAAAGAAGAATTATCAAAGTTCATCAAGAATGGGCAATCTTGCACAGGTGCTCTTGCAAGAACCTTGTCTACATACAGGGTGACCCAAGAAAAACAGAGTAATAATCTCTGAAATACCTATCCTATCAAACCAATTTTTTATATGCATAAACTGGAATCTATGGATGATAATATGATATCAAGTTTGTTACACACTAGAAAAACAGCAACTCCACAGATAGTGGCAATCTTGAAAATTCCATCATGAACAGAGCATATCAGCTTCTAAAATTTAAACCAAATCCATTAATTGGTATTTGAGTTACCAAAGAATACATTTTTACGAAAAATGGTGGCCATTTTAAAATATAGCTGCCATCTTGAAAATTTCTCAAGTTGATCTCCTTTGTCCCTAGGTAGCAGCATATAAAATCTAAACCAAATCTGTGCACTGGTATACAAATGTAAGGTATTTTTAAAAAATGGCAGCCATTTTGAAATTCAGCTGTCATCTTGAAAATTCTTTCACGAACAGGGCTACTATGTCGCCAGGCATCAGCATATAAAATTTGAACCAAGTCCGTTCACTGGTATTTGAGTTATGATTACATTTTTTGGGGAAAAGTGGCTGCCATTTTGAAATTCAGGTACCACTTGAAAATTCTTGTGCAAGAAGCAATTTAAAAGATTAAAAATGTATCAAATTTCGGCTGGCTACAATTATCCAACACAGTGGCGTGACCTTACATGACTTTTTAATGTTAATGCTGACAGCTTTATGTTCAATAGACTAGATGCGAGTAGAAATAATCTTGATTTACATCATTAGATATTCAAAATTCAGTCAAAGTGATGTCATATTTGAATTCTACATGTAAAAGTACATCTAGAAATATGGTTTCGAAAATTGTTTATCAACTTTGAAAATTTAATTTTTTTGAAAATGTGACTTCTCGTTCGGGTTGATTACCCATAGACCCCATGTTACAAAATCATAAAAAGTGAAATATTTTTTCTTGTATTTAACAAATACCATTTTCTTTTACTGGACATATTTTAATTTGCATAATTATTAGATACAAAAGGGTTATATGAAAATTGAACCATTAAAATAGATATAATTTAAGTTAAATGGAACTTTCTCGTATACCCGCCATGCTATCTGACCCGAACGAGCCACCTGGTGGTCAAACTGGTAACTTCCTACTCGCATCTGCGTTATTAGGTTGATAAGTTTAATATGGGAGCTATAGGATGCTTCGATCAACCACATAGCTTGACTTGTCAAACAGAACAACAGTGTCCCTTGGCTTCAGCATATAAAATTTGAACTAAATCCATTTACTGTTTTTTGAGTTATCAAATATTTCATTTTTATCGAAAAAATGCGGCCATTTTGAAATTCAGCAGCCATCTTGAAAATGTTTTCTTAAACAGAGCAACTGTGTCCCTAGGCATCAGTACAGTATATAAAATTGAGATGAAATCCGTTAACTGGTATTTAAATTATCAAAGATTATGTTTTCTTGCGAAAAATTGTGGCCATTTTGAAAATCAGTAGCCATCTTGAAAATCTCTTCTTGAATAAAATTTGAATCAAATCTGTCAATCGGTATTTTAGTTATTGCACGGACAGACTTCGTTCGATGGGATAAAAATTGATTATTTGTGATATCATGGATAATCTTAGAATATGTCCAATTTTTAGAAAATCAACATTGAGCCAAAATCATATC